TTATGAGAGTGTTCTTTGTATACTTTGAAAGTAGGAGTATAAGGGGTTACGGGTTTGAATCGGGAGATGATTCAGTTAAAATTCCCTTATATTCTTTCACGCAAGTGAAAAATGGATAGCTCTCAAACATGCATGTACATGGTTTTTCTAAACCACATAAATTTCTTGTGTCGACTTGTATGTTTTTTCCTTTTTTTTCTTTTCCATTAAATTAAATCTAGCACCGAATTGATTTCACAATTATTTCCATGGTTGATCTCAGAGCGGTCTTGTGGGTTCCGTAGAGAGGGACGTTGTCCTAAACATCTTCTACCTCTTCTTCTAACTCCTTCTGATACTAGTGTAAGGAAACAGGGCAACACACGTTAAATCTAACAGCTAAAATTTCCAACTGATGCTAAGATGTTTCCTCAAGAAATCGAACTGAGGTTTCAATCCATGCAGCCATTCTTCAACTCATAAATCCTAATTATTCAATCTACGCAGGTGCTAACTAGCTAGGAATAGGAGGAGAATAAGAAAGGATAATTGATACGGGGAAAAAAAGTTAGAAAATTACCTTCTCTAAAGCTTGCTCTTCTTCATTCTCTACTTTGATTTCTTCCTCTGTCCCAAAATTATCAGCCATTACCTCTTGTAGAGATTCAAATGGTGCCTCCGATCTTTTCTTTTTGGCTAAAGGTGACATTTTTCCAGCCTCCTGCGCCTCGTTTCTCTCTGTTTCCACCAGTGATCGCCGGCCTCCTTCCCGCTTTGACCGGCGATCCCTCGCCGGAGAATGTGTTAGAGAAAAATCAAAATAAAGTTATATTAGCATGCATAAAATCCAAAAATAAAAGTTAACAGAAAATCTGGCCTGGTCGGGAGTAATCGTGTAAACAATGTCCTAGAAGATTACGAACCCGCCTATCACCCTGATGCAGATGATCATCTCTCTCCTAGCGATAAAAACCCCCAGAATCGGCTAACCTCTATACTCGGGCAAGAGTGATAGAGCTTCTACTCAGATGAAAATAGTTGCTCGGAAAAAAAAATAATAGCCAAAATTTTTGAGAGAAAGAGAGAGTTCTTGTTTTATCACAGAGGAAAGAAGAGAAGAGGAAGCCTTCGATATTGTATGTCATCCAAGAATGAGAAGGGTTGTCTATATAGGGGTTGAGAGCCTTAGCAGAAAACCCGGTAACGTTCGTTATAATTTTCGTAACGTTCCCCATAATTGTATAGCTATTACACACGTTTTAATTACCATGAAAAACATGTAAAACATGTAAAATATGCAAAATAAAGGTTTGGGAAACAAAAAAGGTGTGTGCATGCGGTGCGGCATGGTGCGCGTCACATGGTGGCCGGGCGTGGTGTGGCGTGGCGTGCGCACGCGCGCGCGTGTGTGTGTTATGTAAAGCCCAAACAATACAAAGCCTAAAACACTATTCAAAACCAAATAAGAGGAGAAGCAATTTAAACTCTTTACTATTCATCACACTAGTCCATGTGGGACTATTCATGAAGGTAAAATTGCCTTTTCTCCCACAATATAGCTAACACCCCACCCCCCAAAAAAAGGCAATATTTGACTAAAAACACAAAAATCAATAAATAAATTAATAAATCACAAAACAAATATAGGTTGGGCAACCTTTCGTATCGTGAATTCGAGAGAGGTAGCTTTCGGTCTTGAACCTTTACTTAGTAAGTTCATCGCAACCTGAGGGACATAATAGACTAGGACTTGAATTAGGCTCCTTGTACCAGGTATTGACGAAAACAAACACAATACATCTTCATCTATTGAGCAAAGCGGGTTGAGCGTTAAAGGTCATGCTCACAATAACCGACTCATGAGAGTTTTTAGGGGTTAGCTCAGCCCCCCCCACCCCCAAACCGCGGTCATCACGATTCCTCTCATGTAGGTAAGTCCTCAAAGGGTATTACAGCTGGATATCATACCCTCTGTAATACACGCGTTGGTCTTATTAAGAGTAAAACTCAACCTAACCAGTTGTATCATAAAATCATCGTCACCATAGAGAAGGGGAAACAACAAATGCTACTATAATGATATATGAATATATCTAGGTCGATGCTCCACACGGGTGTCACTAGTCCAGCTTGTTCCTACCACATTGAACCTACATTGAGACTGCGTCTCCAAATAAAAGTTGGGTTCTCGCTATCAGTGACCTCACTTATAGGCTTAACCTCATCTCTCTCGATGAATTCAGAACCACACTCCTAGATAAACCCTTAGTCAAAGGGTCTGCAAGATTCTTTTCAGACTTTACAAAGTCTAGAATCATAACTTTTTCTAACAAGCGTTGTACAGATTTATATCTTATTTGAATATGTCTGTTAAATTTTTTATTTACATGCATTTGCTTTAGAAGCTCTATGGTGGATCTAGAATCAGAGTGAATGAAAATTGGAGGAGAGGATTTAGGGACCAAAGGAAGTTCACAGAGTAGATCTTTTAACCATTATGTTTCTATGCAAGTTGTATCAAGTACAATCAATTCAGATTTCATGGTATTCCTGGCAATTACTATTTGCTTACAAGATTTCTAGGATATAACAGCACCGCTAAAAAGGAATACATATCTAGATGTAGACTTTGCAATGTTAGAATTCGTGACCCAATTAACATCATTATACCCTTCTATAGCATCAGGGTACCCAGTGTAAGTCAAGTAATAGTTAACTATGCCTTTTTAAGTATTTAAATACTCTCCCTAAGGCAATCTAATGATCTTTGCTAGGGCTGTTGGTATACCGCTCAGTCTCCCTATAACATAAGCTATATCGGGTCTAGTTCGGTTGGATATGTATAGGAGAGATCCAATCAGCTGAAAATACTTTAGCTGGGAGACAGGTTCACATTCATTCTTCTTCGAATATAGAATAGTCATAAGGTGTAGAAACCGGTTTAGAGTTATAAAAATTGAATTTGATCAGCATTTTCTCAATACTATGAGAAAGACTCAAGGATATTCCTCTAGCGTCTTTAGTGATTTTTATTCCAAGTATCATGTCAGCAAGACCTACGTCTTTCATATCAAAGTTCTTGAAGAGATAATCCTTAACCTTTAGGATTTCTTTAAGAGTTGTTCCAAAGATAAGGATATCATCAACATAGAGATAGAGGATGACATAATCATTATTTATCACTTTAGAATAGACACACTTATTGTGTTCATTCACAGTGAATCCATATTATGCAATGACTCTGTCAAATTTTTGGTGCCATTATTTAGGAGCTTGTTTAAGATCATACAAAGATTTAACAAGTTTATAGACTTTGTTTCCTGACCTTTAGCAATGAAGCCTTCAGGTTGGTGCATATAGATTTTTTTTCATCTAAATCACCATTTAGAAAAATAGTTTTGACATTCATCTGATGTATGGTCAGCTTATAGATAGCAGCAAAGGCTAATAATACTCGGATAGTTGAGATTCGGGCTACAGGAGAATATATATCAAAATAATCGATGCCCTTTTGTTGAGTATAGCCTTTAGCTACTAATCTAGATTTATATTTATTAATAGAACCATCAGCTCTGAGTTTCTTCTTGAATATCCACTTACAATCAACAGGTTTACAACCTGGAGGTAAGTCGGTGAGTATCCAAGTATGGTTTTTCATGATAGATTTGATTTTATTATCAATGACTTTCTTCCAGAAAGGAAATTCAGGTGAATCCATTGCTTCCTTAAAGGAGCATGGATCACCTTCAATAAAAAAGGTAAAGAAATCTTCACTAAAATCCTTTTGAATTCTACCTCTTTAACTTCTTCGAGGTTCAAGAGGCTAAGAAGAAATAGAAGATAGTTGATCAGAAGGAAGAGATGATATAGGATTTTTTGAGATCTTGGATTTGAAAGGAAAGATGTTTTTAAAGTAGACTGTATCTCTTGCTTTAATGATAGTATTATTAGATATGTCACTGATTTTAGAGTTAATGACTAGAAATCTATTTACATTGATGTCTAGTGCATATCCCATAAAAGCAATATCTATAGTCTTAGAACTAATTTTCCTCTTCTTAGATTCGGGAATAGCTACCTTAGTCAAGCAACCCCAAATCCGGAAGAAGTTCAGACTTGTTCTCCCCTTCCAATATCCATAAGGAGTTATATCATAATATTTATAGGGAATTCTATTGAGAATGAAACAGACTGAAAGAAGAGCTTCACCCCAGAGATTTTCAGGTGCTCCTGAACTGAGTAACATACAGTTTACCATGTCTATTATGGTTCTATTCTTTCGTTCAGCTACCATGTTATACTTTGGTGTATAGGGAGCAGTTACCTTATGAATAATACCGTGTTCTTAGCAATATTCAGTCATTTCATTTGAGGTATACTCGCCCCACGATCAAATCTTAGAATCTTGATCTTTCTGTCAAGTTGGTTCTCAGAGTCAGCTTTATATACCTTACACATATCTAAAACTTTATCTTTAGTTTTGAGAAGATAGGTGTAACAATATCTGGAGTGATCGTCTATAAAAGTCACAAAATATCTCCTACCCCCTCGGGTGAGAACTTGGTTCGAGTCACACACATCACTATGAATTAATTCAAGGGGTTCGAGTTTCTAGTTATAGACTTGAAGGTTTTTTAGTGTGTTTTCCTTGAACACAAATCTCACACTTAGATGAAGGATCATAAGAAGATTTAGGAATAAGATTTAATTTAATCATTCTCTGCAAGGTTTGGAAATTGACATGTCCAAGTTGTCCATGCCAAACATCACAAGACTCAATAATTTATGCAACAGAAGACTCAGGAATTTTATTAGAACTGGAATTGATTACATTGAATTTGAAAAGACCATTACAAATAAAACATCTTCCTGTGAATATATTAGTTTTTGTAATCACAAATTTATTGGATTCATTTACAATCCTAAATCTAGCTCTAAAGAGAAGAGATTCACTGATCAAGTTCTGGCAGAGAGAAGGAACATGATGAACACCTTACAGATTTAGAACTTTCCCAGAAGTCATGGTGAGCTCTATACATCCAATTCTCATTATTTGTTTGGTGGAGTCATCTGCTAAGCTTATACTTCCTCTACGTGATTCCTGGTAAGTTGAAAACCAAGAGTGATCATTGCAAATGTGAATATTAGCTCCAGAATCCAGATACCAATCAGTGAAAGAAGTAAAAGAATTTACAAGATAGGATGAAGAGGCTAACCTGAAGGAATTTGGATTTTCTTTAATCATGTTTACTTTATTGGATCAATTTCCTTTAATAGCAGGTTTGGCTGGTTCCTTCTTCCGATAGAAGCAGTTGAGAGCCAGGTGGTTGGTTCTACCACAGACATAGCAGAACTTTTCATCGGACTTATAGTTGGATTGTGGTTTGATTTGGAGGAAGATTTGTTGAATGATTGCTGGTTTTTCTTGAATTTCTTTCCTTTGGGTTTGAAATTCCTAGATTTAGGCTTATCCTCTACTAAGTTCACTTTAGCTTTCATCTCAGTCTTGGTTTTAGAATTTTACCTATGCTGGTCTTCAATACGAATAGCCTTGAGGGCTACAGTTAAGGTTAGATCTCCTTGCTTGTGTCGGAGATCTCCAGCGAATCTAGACGAGGAGGGAATGAGTTTATCAATCAAACAGGAAACTTTAAAGTCATCGGTAAAAGGAGTTTCCCTTTGATTGGAGGTCACTAGTAGAAATCCGTGCATCCTAGACGGAATATCCTAGACAGAATTTTTTCCGTCTAGAATGTATTAAACTAGATGGAAAATTTCTGTCTAGAATATTCCATCTAGGATAAAACATTCTAGACGGAAATTTCCGTCTAGAATAGTATCCTAGACAGTTATTTTATTTTTATTATTTTTTTAAAATTTTTATGTATCCTAGATGAAAATTTCCGTCTAGGATGTATCCTAGACGAAAATTTCTGTATAAGATACGTTAAAATTTAAAAAAAAATTAACACGTCAAAACCCTAGCTGCCCTTCTTTTCCCCCCCAAATCGAAATTTTCAGCGCTTCCCCACCCCCCAAATCCTCAACTCCTACTCCTCCCTCCACCGCCTCTCTTATCCCTTCTCCTGTTCCTCCATGGCCGCCCTAATCTCACCTCCGTCAACTTCTTTCTCCCCCAACCTCTCGTTACTCCACAGGACCACCACACCGCCCCCATCTTCATTATCCTTGTACTCTCCCTTCTCCTTCTCTCGTCTCTTCACCCTCTCTCCCCCCAAAAGAACTGCATTCAGAGCTTCAGCAGTTGCAGAGCAAGAGAAGGCATTGACCCCTGAAGAGGGATATAAGAAGGAGTTGGCGAAGCCCTGCGAGCTCTATGTCTGTAATCTCCCCAGGCTTTCGGATCTCTTCAAGCCTTATGGAACTGTTCATTCGGTTGAGGTATGTGAGATTTGAGATGGGTCTGTTTGGTTTGGGGATTTTTTTATGCCCATGATTTGTTTTCCAAAATGCTTAACTTTATATCAACTTAGACAAAATTAGCGACTTGAACCCAAATATAGCTACTTATACATCAAATTAGCAAGTTAGACCTAAATATAGCTACAGGAATGCAGTTTTTGAGATGGGTTTATTCGGTATGAGGGATTTTGGATGCCCATGAATTGTTTGACAGAATGCTTGAGTGGGTGTTGTAGTTTTGGTTTTATGTTGACTCTTGGTTCAATGCATCTATGATGGCATAGTAGAAAGTGTTTTCAGTTATTGTTTATACTGCTCTGTAGTTGAAGTTATTTATACATTAGCTCAAATATTGCTTCATGAACTTTGCAAAGTGAAATAGAATTCTTGTTTCGGATGACACAAGCGATACAAGCCTGTGTTACGTTTGATCATTAATAGATTCTATGGTACTTCATAATCAGCTATATGCGTCGAGTTTGTCCTGGATTGGCTATAAAAAGAAAGGTTTCTAGGTTCTTATGCGGGACTCTAGTATGTAACATAGAAAGGAAACAAGAACTACTCTATTGCTGACATTTGTTATAACTAGCTTCCATGAGTATTGGCATCTGAGAGCTGATAATAAGAATAGTAGAATAATAAACCTGCAAACTGCAATCACGTCTCCTGCATTCATTTTGAGCTTGAAATTTCCCTTGTTATAAATTTAATTGATGTCGCTGACAATGTGAAATCCATTCCCAATTTCTAAACCATGTGACTGCTAAACATCTTTGTATGTCTGTGGTATCGTTTTACATCACTTCTAATGTGAATGATTTACTTGGCTTTATCAAATAGTTGATGGATGATTGAATCTCAAAATAACCTTCACTTTATCAGGAAGCTGAAATTTTTGTTTGAAGTAGCTAATTTAATAGCTTTCTATGAAATGCTCATCTAAGATGGTACCTGATTATTATATTTCAAGAGGTCCTTGGTCCAATCATCATTTACAATTTAACCAAAATTTTCTGCCTTACCAAACAAGTTCCGTTTTTTCGGCACACTCGTTCTTTAGTCAGTATGCACAAGAACGAAATTTCAACATAACAAGATCTCCACCTTTAAACTACTTTCATAACTAGAGGGAAGAGATGGATTTTACTGCATGCACTTAAGTTTGCATTATGGCACTCATTTGCTTCATAATTTATTTCAGGTACTTATTAGAATGCTACCAAGTTACTACCAACATGTTTGCCGATACGAGAACACATTAGTCACAAAGTTCTTCGACGTGCATTGTGTGAAGCCTATTGGTGGTCAGAAGGTATACAGTATCTTAATTTTTTGTACAACTATAATATCAACTCTTGATATGTTATGTTGATCCCTACTTGTTTTGCCAGCAAAGTGAATTGTTCTATTTCATTGAGTTAATTTTTTCTGTAGTATATCAGTACTTTGTTCATTATGATTTACAAATAGATGGGTGTTTGATATTTTGTTTCATTTTCCATGTTTGAAGATTGTGTAGGCAAACTAAGATGGATGAGGACATATACAATCAGTTGGTAGAGAAGGCTAAGGAAGAGGGCTATGATGTGAGTAAATGAAATATATAAATATGTCGTAAATGAAATGTAATTATATGTTCTCTCATCAGAGTGGCTTAAACTATATGTAACTGAAATGTAACTATATGTAACTGAAATGTAACTATATGTCGTAAATGAAATGTAACTATATGTTCTCTCATCTTATATGTATCATTGTTGTAGATGAATCATCCATTTGTTCTTCAATGCACAAAGTAGATTCCTAACCAAGCGCGCAAAAAAAAAAACTACTGTAGCAAGCATCCTAGACGGAAATTCCGTCTAGGATGCTAAAAATCCGTCTAGGATGCTTTTTTTTACTGTAGCAAGCATCCTAGACGGAAATTCCGTCTAGGATGCTAAAAATCCGTCTAGGATGCTTTTTTTTTAAAAAATAATAAAAAAAAATAAAAAACATCAATTTTCGTCTAGGATACTCATTCTAGACGGTTTTTTCCGTCTAGGATGTATTATTTTAGACGGAAATTCCGTCTAGAATAATCCGTTTAGGATGTATTCTAGACGGTTTTGAATTCCGTCTAGAATATTCCGTTTAGGATGTATTCTAGATGAAATTTCCATCTAAAATACTACATCCTAGACGAAAACTTCCTAGACGGGTATTCTAGACGGAATTCCGTCTAGAATACTTATTCTAGATGGAATTCTGTATATCCTAGACGGAATTTTTCATCTAGGATGCCTCATTTTTTAGTAGTGGGTGACGAAGGAAAACTTAGAATTCATGAATTTGTTCATTTATGGGTTTTTCATCAACCATCATGAACTTATTGAATGAGGAGGAGGTGAAACGCAGAATTCCAGCATCATCATAGTCATATTCTGCCTCAAGAGCATTCCATATGTCTTTAGCACTTTTGAACTCATAATATATGTCATAAAGGTTGTCCTCAAGTGCACTAAGAATCCTATGGCAACAATGATAGTTCATTTCTTCTGGTTTCATATGACTAAAGAAGAAACTAGCACCATAAGCAAAAGTGGAAGGGGTAGGTTGTTCACGATCGGGAGTAAAGGGTTGAGAACCACTAGAAGAAGAATCACGAGTGTTTATAGCAGATAACAGGCCTAGGGTAATGAGCCAATATCTCATCTGATTAGCCCACCGTTTGTAGTTAACTCCAGTAAACTTCTCAGTTTTGACACTCTTGGAATGGTCAATGATAGCCATAAATCCGATTTAAAGTCAACTAGTCTAGGTATTTGAAATCTGATAGAATAAAGGGGTTTTGTCAATATCACTCGACTAGTTACTTTGGAGATTGTGACTTTAAAGGATGAGTTTGATGCAAAATTATTTATGAGCCAGTAAAAGAAATGAACAAAGTATATAAATATGATTCTAAAACAGCAGATAGCAAGAATAATTGATTTTTATTATTTGTGAGCAGTAAAACAATAGTTTTAAATGCACAGTAACAGAAAATTTGGATGAACAAACAGTACTGGTTTTTTTATTTTTTTGGGTGAACAGTAATTGCAAATTTGACGGATGAACAGTAAAATATATTTTTTAGAATGGGCTGTGCCTGTACTTTTCGAGTGAACAGTACCTTATAATGAACGGTAACTTTTAATATTATTTTTTCAGCTTTTAAAATAACATCTATATCTTTAATCTCCTAGATTGTTAGAGAAGAATCAAAATAAAGTTATATTAGCATGCATAAAATTCAAAAATAAATATGGCCTGGTCGGGAGTAGTCATGTAAACACTGCCCTACAAGATTAAGGACTCGTCTATCGTCCTGGTGCAGATGATCATCTCTTTCCTAACGGTAAAAACCCCAGAATTAGCCGACCTCTGTACTCAGGCGCGAGTAGCAGAGCATCTACTCAGATGAAAATGGTTGCCCGCAAAAAAATTAAATAATAGCCAAAATTTTTGAGAGAGAGAGAGAGAGAGAGAGAGAGAGTGTGTGTTTTTTTTTCTTGTTTTATCACAAAGGAAAGAAGAGAAGAGAAAGCCTTCGATGTTGTGTGTCAGCATAGAATGAGAAGGGTTGTTTATATAAGGGTTGAGAGCCTTAGCTGTTGCAGAAAACCCAGTAATGTTTGTCATAATTTCTGTAACATTTCACATAATTGTATACCAGTTACGCACGTTTTAATTGCCAAGAAAAACATGTAAAACGTGTAAAATAAATGTTTGGAAAACAAAAAGGCGTGCGCGTGCGGTGCGGCGTGCCGTGCGCGCGCGTTATGTAAAGTCAAAATAATACAAAGCCCAAAATACTATTCAAAGCCCAATAAGAGGTGAAGCAATTTAAACCATATACTATTCATGACATTAGTCCATGTGGGACTATTCATGAAGGCAAAATTATCTTTTTTCCCACAATATAGCCAACATAATAATCATCCTTCTACTTTCCCATTTCATTCGATAGGCGCAAACTCGACGAAGGAGTAGCTGGCATTTTTAGAAGCGGCGATCTGTATCAAACAGAGAGAATAAAGATAGGATTTTTTAGGGTTTTTGGGGCTAAGAGGATAAAGAGGGATTTTTTAGGTTTCGTTGTTTTTATGAACGTGTTGTTTTTATTAACGTAACGTCGACGGAGAAATTGTCTTCAAGTTTGCATTGCTGGGGCATCGCGCACGGGCTCAAAAGTAGAGCGTTCTGCAAAGAAAAGGAATTGATTTTCTTTTTTAAATAGTTTCGTTTCTATATACTATTTTATATTTCAGTATGAATACCCTAGTGTTTGCCAAAATTGCACGAAAATATCCTAAATTTCATCCCATGCAAATAAATACCCTAAGCTTCTCAGAAGTTTCTACAGTTAGAAAAACAGTGACAGCGTTAGAGCAAGGGCAGCAAGCTCTGAAGGAGGCTCTCAAGGCTGACGTGGCCATGGAAGTTGGCAGCCCCCCCTCTAGCAAGCTCTAAAACCCTCCCAAGCCCCTCTCCTAAGGCTGACGTGACCTTGGGGAGCTTCCGAGCTCCCAAGCGCTCCACAAATTTGTGGAGCGCTTGGGAGCTCGGAAGCTCCCCAAGGCGCTCGGTTGGGGCGAAGATGACGAAGGGTCGACGGAGTTTTGATTCGATGGTGGCGCTCGGGAGAGGGATTGATTCGAAGATGAAGGTGGCGCTCGAACTGGGGACGAAGATTTGAAGAGTTGGGGACGAAGAATTGGGGACGAAAATTTTTGACGAGGAAGATTTGAGGAGATGATTTGGGGAGATGAGTTGGGGGCGACAGTGTTTTGATTTGGGGCGACGGGTTTTTGATGTAATTTTTTTTTAATTAGCTTTCAACTTCGCGTGGATGATTGAAAAATACTACCGTTGGTGAAAAATTATTACCGTTGATGGGTTGTCCGTTGAGTGAAAATTATTACCGTTGTGTGAAAAAATGACTGTTGAACAGTAAGAAAAACTCTATAAATTCACAATTCACTACACAACTCATTCCACACAACTCTCTCATAAAAAAACTCTATATTTTCCTATCAAATTACAAATCTCATGGATCCCTCCCAAAACAACTACTATTCGCATCTCCTTACCGGTGAAGGATCGACCTTATACTCGCCGTTCTATACAGAAGTCGTAGAAGAAGGTCATCCCATCGAGTTATCGCAATCCGCAACACAACAAGTGTCATCCCAAGAAACACCGACCACAAAGAAGAAGAAGGCTTACACGCGGTCCGAAAATTGGACTGTCCACGAGGATAAGCTTCTTGTGTCTGCTTGGCTGAACACGAGCCAAGACGCCATCCAAGGTACGGGGCAACACAAAGATAAGTTTTGGCACCGAGCTAACGACTATTTTATCCTATACTCCACCGATCCAACGAGCCGCACGCCAAACCAAATGATGCATCGTTGGTCAATGATTCAACTGTCGGTCAACAAGTTCTGCGGGTGCGTTGCTCAGATTGAAGGAAGACAAAGATCTGGTACGAGAATTATTGGCCAGGTAAATATTTAACTTATATGTTTTTATGTAAATATTTAACTTATATGTTTGATTATTCTAAATTTAACTCTTGTGTAGACTGCAGAAGTAAAAGAATTATACCAATCCCTTTATGGTAAGCCATTCGTGTTTGGCCATTGCTGGGTTGAGTTGCGTCATCACCAAAAATGGAACCAACAAATGGAAACTTACAATAAGATTCGATCACAGCCGAGAAGAACCACGAACTCTGATTCCTCACCAAACAATTCCATGCCAGCGACCCCCATCGAGTTGAACATTGACTCGGATGATGTTATAGCAAGGCCTGAAGGGAGGAAAGCGGCAAAACTCAAGAGGAAACAAAATGTGGACAAATCTGAGTCCGCTAAGTCCATTATGGGAGAGGCTTTCGCGTGGATGAAGCAAACCAACAAAGAAAAAATGGAGCTAAAACAGAAGAAACAAGATGACGATATCATGAAGGTCGATTTCTCAACACTCAATTCAGTTCAACGATAATACTTTAAAATGCGTCAGGCAGAGATATTGGAGAGGTGGATATCCAAGGGTTCTTCCTAATTATCATATATTGTACTCGCATCGCATCCTCATTAGTTCTTCCTAATTATCAAATATTATCTTATATTAGATTTATGATTGTCCTTGAAGTTGAAAATTTTGGCATTGAATGATACTTTATTGAAAATGAAATTGGCGTAGTACAACAACTTGAACTCCTTTTCTGAAATTACATTAGACATAAAGAAACTTAATCCTCGGCGATGGACCCCTTTGCCACAGATGCTCGATCAAATCATTTTTTAGTGATTTGTGTGTTTGTGTGTTCCTGATCCGATGATGATTTTGGATGAACTCAGTTAGAGGCACCGTCTGCACATGAGAAGGTTCAACGACTGGTACCGAATCAGTAAAGTCGAAGTTGTTGTCCAATTGACAATCATGTTCATCTTCAACGATCATGTTATGCATTATGATGCAAGCTGTCATGATGTCTTTCAGCACACAAGGTTGCCAGAAACGTCCTGGTCCACGAACAATCGCAAATCGAGCTTGCAACACGCCAAAAGCTCGCTCAACATCTTTTCTTGCGCTTTCTTGTTGTTGAGCAAAGTACTTATGCTTGTTTCCTCGAGGTGCTGGAATAGTCTTCACTAATGTCGACCACTCTGGGTAAATCCCATCGGCGAGATAGTATCCTATATTATACTCGTGGCCATTGACAGTATAGTTGCACGGTGAATCTCTTCCCTCCGCAAGTTGTGCGAAAACCGGTGAACGATGTAGAACATTAAGGTCATTGTGAGACCCCGGTAGTCCAAAGAAGGCATGCCATATCCAAAGATCTTTGCTAGCTACGGCCTCCAAAATAATTGTGGGTTCATGAAAATGTCCAGGATACATACCTTGCCAGGCAGCTGGACAGTTCTTCCATGTCCAGTGCATGTAGTCGATGCTCCCAAGCATACCAGGAAAACCTCGTTGTGAGCCTTCCTCGAGCAGGCGTGCAACGTCTTCATTAGTCGGTGCACGAAGGTATTCCTCTCCAAAGATGTTGATAATCGATCGAACGAACCTCTTCACGCTCTCAAGCGACGTACTTTTACCGATCCGAACGTAGTCATCAACGGAGTCAGCGGATGCTCCATATGCAAGCATCCACATAGCTGCAGTAATCTTTTGAAGACTAGATAGTCCTAACTGTCCAGCACCATTCCTCTTTTGGACGAAGTACTTGTCATGTTCGACGACTGCGTCGTGGATTCGAAGGAATAACGAACGCCTCATTCTGAACCTTTGACGAAAATAATAAAGAGGATAGGTTGGTGCGTCAGCAAAATAATCTTGGAATAACCGATTGTGACCTTCCAGTCGGTTTTTGATGGAGCACGATACGTCGTTTGTGTTGAACTGAAGTTGAACATTTCTCTTGTTCTTCTTCCTCAACGACAACAGCTCCCATAAGAAAGAACTTCTTCATCATTTCATCATCGCTAGAGCTAGATGAGCTAGACATTTTATTCTGGAAGATGATGGGTTGAGGAGAGAAGCCGTCGAATTTTATAGGCATCAGTCGATTGACGGTCAAAGTTTGCGATACCTCGAACTTCGTGCCCAACATCGAAGACCGCGGGTTACCTCGAAGACCGTGTGCGTTCCCTCAAAAGCCGCGGGTTACCTCGAAGACCGTGTGCGCACCCTCTACAATAAACTTCCCCAGTGATAAAATTCCACTCTATTACGTTTTCATCAACTTCCCCCAAATTGTTAGGTGGCCTCGGGTAAAATTGGATCTCAGGTTTGGAATTTGCATGTAAATTGTTTTCTAGAACATGAAGGAGGTGATTTTTTACAAGGTCACGTGGATTTGGGTATGGCACTGACCTAATTTAGATATTTTTCCCCCCTTCCTGATTTGCGCCCAAAAAAATAGGCTCATATGCACAAGTCTTCTCATTTTATGATTCACTTGTGAAAAAGAACACTTTGGTGCTTGTTTTTCTAACACAATGGGTGTTAATTTTTTATTTTGGTGTTAAAATGATGGGTTTTTTGCATGATGGTTTTATGGGTTAGATTGAATACCATAAACATGGTTATTGTGTTTGGTGATGTTTGTTATTGCTAAAATTGACTAGATTTTAGTGTTTGGTGTTTTTTTTTTTTAACTTTTGGTTATGTATGTGTTTGTTTTGTGTATGAAAAAATATGTACTAGATGGGTGTGCATGTATACTCTTTGCCATCAACATCCCCCATGCCTAATGTAAAGCTTAAGCTTCTAGAGCTTGCCTTTATAGTTGGCTTCAAAGAGATTGAAGAGAAATAATGAAAAATATGAGATTTAGGTTAAACTAGAGAAGAAAATATTTACATGTACGGTGGTGAACGTTAGGATATTTTCATGCAACTTTGGCAAACGTAGGGTATTTAACTATATGTTGTAAGGGTTTTTTTGCATATATACCCCTCATATCTTCCATATTTGCAAAATTAGCCTCTAAATATTGGTATTTGCAACATGACCCTCCAATTCTCTATATCAAATTTGTCCTCGAAATTATTATATTTTAAGGGTTTTTGCATATATACCCATCAAATCTTTCATATTTGCAAAATTAGCCTCTAAATATTGGTATTTGCAACACAACTCTGCAATTCTCTCAATTGATTTTTTCTATCTCTTCCACTTATTTTTAGTTTTTTAAAGGGAGATTGTTGCAAACCGAGTGAAAATCATTGAAAATTTTGACACTGCCTAGTGTAAAAATCAACATTCTAAAGTTGGAGCAATAGAAAGACATAATATGAAAGTTTTGACAAGAAATTTCGCAAATACCAAGATTTGAGGGGTAATTTTACAAATACTAAAGATTTGATGAATGTGTATGTAAAAGAAAATCATACTTAAATTTATTTCTCAAGTTGTAGTCATCCATCAAATTTACACTCATCTACACTATTGAGAACAAATAGAATATTTTCTCAAATAAATTATTTTTTTTTTTTAAATTATCCATCTTTTAGATTAATTCTACATTATTATTATTTTTTTCTTTGCTTGGATAGAGATTCTCTACATTCTTGCTTGGTTATTGGTTATAGAGAAGCTCTACAACTCTGCAATCACAACACCTCACTAACTAGACCACATAAACTATATAAAACATTTCATAAACTAATAAGCCCACTGAATAAGCCAATGTTATTAATCGACCTAGCTTCATCTAGAGGGAGTTTGAGGAAGAAGGGTTAATTTATTTATCCTGCAGGGCTAACACTAGCGGAATTCTTATCTTTATATAGAAAATACCAATTTCTTACTTTCATTTTTGTAGATTATCCTTTTAAGTGAAACTTTTTCAACTCCTACGCCCACCAAGGAAGTTATTATATGTTTATTTCACAAATAGATTGTATCTAGTAAGTCAAAACGGTGATACCGCGGGATATCCACGACAGCCTTGAAAATTTAGCGTAAGAAGCTGTATGGGGGGGCAGGAGTCATGAGCGTAGCTGCATTTCAGAGAATCCAGGAACGGAAAGAAAATACACGAGAAACAAACCAAATTTCCATACAAATCTCAGTTACCAACTATTGCTATAAGATGCAATCCATCTGCCATTCATAACGCATGAAATAAAAACAACAGATGGCCAGAAACATAAGCATATCAGAAAGCCAGCAGAAAAATACCGCGCACAAAATTCGACTACTACTATGCAACCTTAACTGTAATAAACATACCGCAAATGACTGCAACTAGATTCTTAAAGGCTTGAATACATCCGGTTCATTATGTAACAAACCGAAAGTCGAAGGTCCGACGGTCTCTGATAGATTAGATTATATGGTCCGTTAAACAGAATAAAACCAGGAGCAAAAAAAATTAAACTAAGAAATAAGCCCTCTATTTCTCGTTCGGAGTTCAGCCAAGCAGACATCCCTTGGAGGCGAAGGGTCATTCAACGGTACTGTCAAAAAGGAAACAATAAAAAATAGAGGATTAGTGACACAAATTGGACAATAGGGATAACAAAAATGTAACAAGAATTCAGTGTGGAAGCTTGCGAACAAGTACATGTATACCGCGCAGTAAGCAGAACACATAACCCCCTGAAAACAGCTAGCTTAATTCTCACTACTAACCTGGCAACCCTAATTTGTACTGGGCAATCTTAAAACTATGTGTGCATTTGGCTAATCTTTCATAGACAATCAAATTTCATGCAGTTTGCTTTGATATTTAAGCCTGGTTCTTTCTCAGAGATGACTCAATTGTTGTTTCATCATCATCAGATCATGCTCAGTGTCCGCAATGAACCTTAACTTTAGGGGTAAGTGCAGAAAGCAACTCAAAACTAGATTATGCCAAAGAAGCAAACGCTGCACGCATATGGTCATGTAGTTATCAGAGGGAATTCAAGAACAAGGATTTACTAAAAGCTTCGGAGCAATATCATTGAATCATGTCAGGCAATGGCTACAACATACCATTTGAAGTAGCTTATATGACAAATAGGAAACAGGAAGGCCAACACTGCATGCATGAAGACGGTCAAGGTTTGCCATCTTGAAACAATCCACGCAATTAGTATCACCTGATCAAATTTTTTGGTGTCTGGATTCTTCCATCCATTCCGTAAGGGTTACTTCTGTTAAGTTATATACCATCATATCCTTCTCAACTGCTTCCTAGCGAGTTCTGTTGGGCAGCCGAGATCTAATTAGTCCTCCTGCTCCCATTAAAAATGATCAAACCACTACTAACCAGTGGATTTTGGCCTCCGTTGCATATGACCAAACCATGTGACTCAAGTTGCTCCCATTTTATCGTTCAATAGGAGCAACCACTAACCTCCTTCATATGAAGTATCAACACGTTCATTTCTTATCCAATCTCTTAATTACAAAAGTCCCTCATAGCATGCTCATAGCTTAAATGATAAAATAAAGAACAATATGAATGAATGTCACAGAAAAAGAAGAATGTGAAAATAACCAGTGTTAAGCGGCCAAACTAGAATCTCAAGTATTGAGGGTGGGTTGTTATTGGTTTTCATGGCTGGGTTGGGTAGATGGGAACTTGCAAATGACAACCAAAGTCAAAGATAGATGGGAACTTGCAAATAGACAACCAAAGTCAAAGGTAGATGGGAACTTGCAAATAGACAACCAAAGTCAAAGGTACTTTATCCCCATAAACAACTACATTACCGTGCAACTTTCTTTCCAGTCGGATCCAAAATTTAATTATACTATTGGAACAATCTAGCATTATGAACGAACCATTATGGTTCTTTACGTAATAAATAAAGTAATAAACAGATAGACATAAGATTTAGAAACACGTATAAAAAGTATAGAAAACCATGTAAGCGACATTTCTGCATAAACCATCACTAATACAAGAGTAAACAGTTTCAATACTTAGAACTTGTTTTGACTCTCTAAAAAAATGTGCTAGTACAGCTACAAGAGCACTAAAACAAGCCCAGAAACTTCGATATGCAACGTGCCACCTTTATAGGCTTGGAATATAAGTAATATATAATACAAAATAAACAAGCACTAAACGGGCAGATATTAGTCAGGAAAATAACCTTAATAAAGCCAATTTCCTTGGCGTTGCTGCGGAAGCATTGTCTGCAGCACATAAGCCCATATTTGCGGATGATCGCATGAGGATTGCCACAAACTCGGCTGCAAATTACACGACACTTGTAATATTAAACCAATGATACATGAACAATATTAAGATTAAAAAAGGTGCACTCAAGTATGATTACATCAATAAATTTCACTAGTGAAATGTTCCTTCACGGCATATTAAACCAATGACACAATGAAACAAAGAGGAAAAATATAATAGGTAGACATATGCATCCTATTCAATCAATCTCACTAATGACATGTTCCTACACAACATATTAAACCAATGACACAAATGCACGATATTATAGTTAAAAAATGTGCATGGAAGTGTTATTACATCAACAAAAGAAAAATAACGTTTTTGTAATAGAACTTAGACAGGATGGTTTAACTTGTAGCCAAATCTGGTGCCACTTTCAAAATAAGATTGGGCCAAACTAATATTTCCTTAACTAGGCCTAAATTTCTTCATGTATGGGTTGGTCCAAAAGAAAACTAGTTTAAGGACAAGAATTTCAACTAAAAAAGATGGTTCAAATCTCGCCCGAGTTTTGCCAAATCAAAAAGTAGTTTTTGGACCATGCTTGTATCCACTTTGGAGTTTTTATCGAACGCACCCTAATGCCAGTCTCCAATCATTTCTGAATAGTTATAAAAGTTAACAAAACGATGCACAAGATTTCTTCAATAATCCAAGATTGATATGCATGCCAATTATAATATAATGAAACGGAAGGGTTGTGTTTGGCAACTCCAAAGAACTAGTTTTAGTTTATACAAGTATGGTCTACAATTAGTTTTTAGTTTGGCAAAATTTAGGACATATTTGAACTAAACTTTTTTCCCTAGTTCAAATTCTAAACCTTAAACTAGTTTTCTTTTGAATCAAACCCCTACATGGACCAACACTAGTCTACTTGAGCAAAATTTAGTCAAAACCCAATCCCGTTTTGAAATGGCCAAGCATGGATGTGTTTGGTTAGAGGGTATTGAAACCACAAATGTAGTTGCAACATCATTCGTGTGTCTGGATCAATGTAGTTAAAACACTATGTTGTTCCAAAATGTTGTTGCAACACTCATATATGCTTAAAAATGAGGGTGTTGCATCCGTGCTCAAATTTTAGAGTGTTGCAACAATATTTGAGTTGCAACTACATGTAGAGTGTGTTTAAATAGAGGGTGTTAACAGTAACAAATGTAGTTGTATCCACAAGCAGTTGCAACTAGGGATGCTTAACCGTATCCGTATCCGATGAAATATCCGTAACCGTATCCGTTAGGATACGGGTAACCGTATCAGTTAGGATAAAATGGTTACTAAAATATAAAACCATTAGGATATGGTTACAGATATGATTTTGTAGTAAAATATCTGTATCCGTATCCGAAATATCCGAATATATACTAGTCATACTCTTACGATAGTTTTGATTCTTAGATTGTAGATTTTTGATTAATTTTGATGATCTAGATGTCTAATCTTAACTTTTCAATTATAATGAACATATTATCTAGTTTTCTCATATCTATTTTGTATCTGCAAGCATATCCGCTCATATATCCGCATGTATATCCGTAACCGTATCCGATTTTAGCAGATATGATTATGAATTTTTTTCTTACCAAGTTATACTCGTATCCATATCCGAGATGGGTAAGCGGATATGGATATGGTAAGCATCATATCCGAGCCGTATCTGGACCGAGTGCACCCCTAGTTGCAACTCACATTGTTGCATTTATATATAGTTGCAACTCAAATGTTGTTGCAATACTCTTAAATTTGAGTACGGATGCAACACCCTCATTTTCGTGTTGTAACTACATCTAACCAAATACTCAAAGTTGTAGTTGGAACAACAAAATGTCCTAACTATTTCAATCCAAACAAACACATGATGTTGCAACTAAATTTTTATTTCCAACATAACAAACCAAACGCGCCCCTAAATGCAACAATTTGAGTTTCCAACAACATTTGAGTTGCCACTATATGTGAATGCAACAACTTGAATTGCAACTGCTCGTAGATACAACTACATTTTTTATTGCAACACCCTCTGACCAAACACACCCTACTAGTAGATACAACTACATTTGTCATTGCAACACCCTCTAATCAAACACACTATGGACTGCTCCTTCAGAATGACAAGCAATTGCTACTCGAATTCAACCCTATTAGTCAATTAATCCTAATACCCAAATCTGTTGTCAATTATAAACAGGATCTAACTATTATTGTGACAGCATAATGATCAAGTTTGGCTAACTTATTCAACTTATAATCAACATTTCCCTATAAAATAAATGAGTAACAGGAACATACATAACCCAAAATATTAATAAATTCTCCAGTTCAGATATTTG